TACTTAAATCAATTGATTTACTAAAATTCTCAAAATCCCAAAAGCTGCACCAAATTTGAGAGCGAAGCAAGTGCACATTTAGTTGTAAGACCAATTTCCCTTCAGTTTCGAAACACCTAACGCAATGTCAAAGAATAGAAGTGAACCATCCTTAAAGGATCCCCTGAAATCAGTGGGATCTCTCGCGGAAGTCATTCTTTGGCAAGCCTACTTCCAACTTCTGCTGTTCTTCAAATCTATGGTAGTAAGTGATGTCGAAAAATTATTTCTTTGCCATTGTTGACGAGATGCCTGTTGTGCATAAATATGAGGTGATTGCTTATGCTGACATTTTGTCGATAATTACGGCAAACGCATGATTAAGAAAAGGCTTGATGTCTTATCAGTTCTCCTGAATAACTACTATCAACAAAAAAATCTTGAACGACAAAGAGATGTTCTCCATTCAATTCAAGACAAGTCTCCGTCCCATTGTTTATTCCTCTCTTATCTATGCATCGTTCTTCTATTACCATCACTTATGGAATTTCAAATTTAATGTTAATTTTGTGTAAGTAAAACAGGTAACCCCAGGAAGAGACAAAAGACATAAAAAAACTAAATTCTCATGCTTTATAATATGGAGAGAGCACAGTTAATTTCTTCTATTTTCAAGATAAAAGTTTTCGTTGTAGAGGCATGTGGGCATTGTAGGCGTGTCTTTTGAAAAGTTCAAGTCAATTTCAAATTGTTTTGCAAATTTTTAGGCGACATCTTCATGTTTACCACAAACAATACCACCCAAACAGACAGATGGACAGACGAACAGGCGGACAGGTTTAGCTGCATTCCAAGGTTATAACTGGCCAAGAGTTTATATACTTTATGGGGTTTCTGCGTATTGAAAAGCCTTGATACGCTATAATATTGTGTAGACGTGGTCAATTTTTTCCGTCTTTAAGCACAAATACTACAGCGTCGCCCATAGAATATGCGCTCAAATTTTTGAACATTTATTCGCTTATAGCTTATGCGTAATGAACAAAGAACCAATTTTGCATTCCCTTTGAAAAGAACAGGTTTTTCCAATTTAAGTGGTGTTGTGGACACGTCCTTCGTCCGATTTGGCCGATACCAATCTGCGTGCAAGAACTTTTAATATTTCTGCCAAATTTGAAGTCCATAGCTTCATTTTTGCGCCCAAGAGAATGTTTAAAACAGACATTACACAGACAGTCAGAGGGACAGACGGACATGCTTAAATCGATTTAGAATTTGATTCTGATCAAGAATATATACATTTTGTGGGGTCTCTGATGCTTCCTTCTAGGCGTTGCAAACGTTTGGACAAAATGAATATACCCCTCATACTTTAGTGGTGGGTATGAAAAGTAAACTTCCGCCAACATGTATTGACGGTACATATACGTGAAGTAATAAAACTAGACCATAATGTTCACGCGATAATTTATAAGGCTTTGGTAACCAAAGCAATTTAGAGTTTCAGGCATATTTTGTACTAAATGCCAAAAGAACATTGTACTCAATACAAATAAGGCCAATATCAATAATAATGACACTGGCCTCTGCCTTTGCTATTGCTGTTAATCAACAGGAAACAGTTATAGCACGTGAACAAAGTAAGGACAATATCGGCCAAACTAAATCCAGTATTGGCCGCTGAGCCGCTAACAACTCATGTGCGTTCACTTGACTAGCAGTAAACTGGTTGGCAGACATTTGCGTGTTAAATACTTGCGTTTTACAAATGTTTTTGTGTTTTTCTGTATTCAACAAAGCACCACCATTACTACCACTACTTTTAAGTCCCAGCAGCCCATAAATGTAAACACTTCCATACTCGCATAAACAAGTTTGAACATTTTTCCAAAAAATTGACCGCAATTAGTCCTTTGGGAAATTCAGGCCAAACTCTTATTTGTACCCTTCATACGTTTCATATTAGTGGTATGCTTTACCATAAGAGACTAAAAGAAGAGTTTACACGCCAAGTTAGAGAGATTAGTAAGTGAGTGTAGGCAAGAGAGCAAATACTTTCGATGGGGTTGAAATATTTTTCTTCACGAAAAGCAATCGAGTTGAACGCCTTAAGCTAATGGCCCCGAAATTTTGTTTAATATAAGTTAAAGTTAAATGAGTGGTTCTTTCTCTTAGAACTATGAGAATTGTTATTGGTTTGGATGTCAAGGCTACTTTTATTTATTATCAAGAAATTTTACTATTCCTATTTTTTGGCGTTAAAATCAAAAGTCAAAGAAAACTTTGCAATAACTTTATATTAGATTTTAGTAGCTTTGATAAAAGTTTTGACCATAAGCGAATTTAAATAAATAATAAGTTAATCCATTAGTGTCTAAAACGAAGATTACATAATACTTTTAAGGGTTGGGAGTTCAAAAAAAAAAAAAAAACAATTCAATCCAATATAGAACTTTGATTGCTTTTTCCCCCTCTTGAGAGCAAAATATTTATTAGCTTAACTGAATAAATAGTGCGGTAAAACTGTAAATGATACCAAGTATGACATATAAGACTTGTGTGGACAAAAGACAATCCACACGTAAAATCAATGGAATTATTTAACTTTTATGGACGCTTACACCTAAAACACGTTTCAATCGATAAGGAATCTCAACTTCTACTTGACATATATATACTTCGAGGGAGCATCAATAGTCACTTTTGATGGTCGAAAAAGGCATTCATTCCACAACATCATGCCTGAAATGAAATAATTGAGGGCTTCGATGGCCATCCGCTCTATAACTTTTTTAAAGGAAAACAAAAGAATTCAAAACGTTTAAGTGGATAAAGTTAATTCCACGGATCCCATACTCTGGAGACACCGGTGGGTCTTACTTTAACGTATTGCAGCACTGAAATTCTGGGGTAGACAAACAGCAAGTCTGACATTTTTTTCGTAATACTAAAATTCGTACGTAGCTGCATTAAAATCTATCGAGAGCTTTCGATTGTCTTACTAAATATTCTAAAATCTTCTTACTTATATTACGATCGTGAATACAAATCTCAAGTGCGGTAGAGTTTTTAATAAAGCCGAATGCCTTAGATGCCCGTGCTTTAAGACTTCGGGCCAGGGGCACCGGCCAGTACAACAGATCCTTTAAATCGTCTTACAAATTTTCCACACAATTAATAATAATAATATCTACTTGGTCGAATTAAATGCAAGAATTTCGATTTGAAAGCATTAAATAAATAAGCGAGAAGAAGACAAAGATACTGCTGATTTAGAATCTGTGAAAGCAAAAGAGGGAAATTTGTTAGAGCGATATACATATAAGAGATTTTTAAATAATATTAATCTGCTCGATACATAATTGAACGAAACATTGCATAATTGAGCAGCCGAACCAATAGAGGGACAATTCTTTACCCGTCTAAACTTAAGAAAAAGTCAGGCCTGTCTTCGGAATTGTTTCCAATTATTCAAGGAAATAGTACACTGAGCTTCAATGTCATCATAGAAGTTAATTAAAAAAAATTGCCTTTTAAGTCTCTTTAAAACTTCAAATGTTACTATTAATAACTTTCCAAAAAGCAATTTGTTCTATAAAATGAAAACTAATTTAATTTAATAGGCTAACGAAAATATATCTGTTCTGTCCTGTTAAAGCTGTAGCCTTTAGTACTTGGCTTTCAAAATTTGTAGAAAAAAAAGGAATCTTCTAAAAACCGAGATAAGAGTAATTTCATGTTAAAAGTTTCCCATCTAATCGAATAGATTCCATCAACTAGGCAGGAAACGAAAATGGCAAAAATATTAACTTTTCTCTGTCTAATCTTTGCATAACAAAACATGAAAGTTTCCGTTTTAAAAACTTGACATCACCTTGATGTACACATCATAAACATTATATTGTTTGTCCCAGCCTCTATCGTCAACAAACAACAAAAGATATAACTGAAAACCACTACCATTACCATAACATTGTAACCTTGCACAACTGTAATGGTTGAGTTTAACAAAATTCTAAAACACTTAAGTTTGCATGTTCTTGCTAAAGTCACTGGCCAGAAAAGGGAAAATTATAACTTTGCCATAGTAAGTCGAATATATGAAAGTAATAAAAACAGAAACAACAAGACGCCAAGGAAAGGATAACTTATCTTTTGTTAAGATCTTACGCAAATATAAACTAAAAATTTGTACATGTGCAAGTGTACGTTTGCCTTTGTATATGTGGAAGATAAACTGCCGACTGATATCCGTAGATGATGCAAAACGGCTACAATAGCCCTCACACAATACACATTTACGTTACAATGATACCTTTAGCACAATTTATATATAAAAACCATTGAATGCGATAGGGCAGCAGACGAACAACAAGAGACCACACGCACTGATACTCGTGTCACTAGATTTAGTTTTAAACATTCCTCATTCTGCATCCCTTAGACAAACTGTGATATGTATAGAAACACACACACATACTCATATATACATATACATATATATATGTATAATATGCTATAGAGAGAGAGAGAGACAATGTTTTTAGTTTAGGATTCTGACATTTTACATACCAAAGATAGGTTTTTGTTTACATATATATATATATATATGTGCGTGTGTAGACAAACCACAGCTTCATCTGTTACTGTTGGAAGTGTATTTCCCATTTTTGGGAATTTGTTAAGGGTTATTTGCAAGTTAACAGTTTAAACGTGTTAATACGCCTAAAGGTAAGACATACACACATAAATATACACAACACTACACACGCACACACACACAATTCTAACAGTTTGTCTATGCAATGATTTGACACTAATAATAATAATAATACCGATAATGTTTTATAGAGTATTTTGAAACACAAAACAGTCTCTTAAAAACCCTTTAAAGTATTCATGTGTAAAATGCATAAAAATTGTAAATTATTACACTTTTCCAAAACCTCTACATATGTATTTAGATAAAAGTGTGTGATTATAATAATTTTGATTTTTTCTTTCATCTATTATGATTTCAGATTAGATTTCAGCCGCAATTATACTCATTGCAATGCTTCACTCCTAGTCAATGATACATTGGCCATGTCTGGTGATCAACCCACTTGGCTAAAATTATTACCATCACGTATGCATTCGCCGGAAGCTATTTTAAATACTTGGTTACATTTAGGCGGTGCTCCTCAAGCCCCCATCGGTTTAATAATCGAACTGCCTCCATCACAAAGCGGAAGCGGTTTCACCGGTTGCTTGCATTCGTTACGTATAAATGAAGAGACACGAGAAATATTTGGGTAAGTGTAGCGTAGCATATGGGAAAGAACCGCTTTTAACGTGAACACATGTATGCATAATTACAAGAAGGCCAAAAGCCCTTTATTAAAGTTGCTAAATCAACGACATTAAAGAATGAATAGAAACCAGGGTTTTTCTTATAACTTTTCTTAGGAAACTGCAGTGTTTAGGCTATCAATAAGCTACAGAATAGTCACTCATATTCCTTACAGGTGAACACTTATTAGTATAGGGTGCGCTATAGCTCCACCTATAAGTGATGAAATTTGTACAACACATAGCATTTTCCTTGAGAATAGGAACCGTATCCTGACATTGTGACCAGCGACTAGTCATAAGAGTTTGTGATTGTGATTTCTTATGTTTTTCTGCGACGTGGCATTAAATTTGTAATACTGTTCCGGAACGAAAGTCGAGCGAAGGGTATTAAGAAACTTCGTTCTTTTGTTACGGAAACCACAAAAAGAATGTTTCTGACTGCTATGTCACTTGTGACACCTCTACAACACTTACCAGAATACGACCATAAGATAAACATGAGTCTCTTCTGTGATCGAAAGGCGAAGATAGTTGAAGCTTATTTTAAAAACGCAGCGACAAATTCCCAAAGGCTGAAATAACAATAGAATCGCTGGCAATTTTTTCGCAATCAGTAATATGCCAATTGCTTGGAGGTCTTAAGAATCACCGTCCAGCTCATTTGCTACGGCAACAATATCACAGTCGGCGTAAACAGGCGCAACAATTAACGGACTTGGTGGGGTAACGCGGTGATATTTATTCGAAGGACACTGAATCATTTCTTACTGACATCCTTCGCTAATATAAACGTCAGATCGAAGGTATCCTTAAGTGCACCGCAGAAAATGCGAACATTCCGTAAAAGATACAGCGGCTTAAAGAGAACATCAAAGAATAAATTAAAGCGTTAACCCAACCCAAACGTGTGCACAACATCATAGCGCATTGTTGTCTAAAATTGTTTCTCACTCGCAGATGCTGCATATATGTATATATATAAAAGAAGTTGTTACAGTTTTGTAACCCACCCCATACAATAGGATCGCTTTCATTGCTAAACGGACCTACAATCTTTAAGCCGAATAAAAAAATCGATTCATGAAAATATTTTTTCTCGTTCAAAACAGGCCCAGTTGCCAGCTATGCCAGCATGCTACATAAACTGATTAGGATTTGGCCGGCGCCAGCGTTTACCATAATCCTTTAGCTCAATATCTCATCGATCCAAATTTGAGTTAAAAAAATAAATCATTTAATCTGTATTTCTTTATATAGAGTAGACGTAGGTTATTGTAGAAATATTGAAATTTTGTGCGGTTAGCAAGGGGTCGAATAAAAATCTGATTTCGGATGAATAAAACGGCATCTCGTTAATAAGAAATATCTAGATTAACTTGTGGAAAATATCACACGCCATTTTCTAGAAAATGTTGCCGCACAATTATCCTCAAAAATTCATATTTGCTGACAGCGTAAAATTTTTCCACCCCTACAATTATATTTTTATGTTCTCCCCAAATATTTACGGCATCGTTCAAGCCAAGTTAAAAGAAAAAAAAAAGTTTCTAAGAAAGTCACAGCGACATTGTCCCTTATCGTACTCCTGCGTCCAGCTCTGCCTCTTTACACGCCTACTTATCTAAAAATTTACAAAATTTGCGATAGGAACATAAAAATCTTTGGCTCTAACGCATAGTTTAAGTGTGCGAGGATGGTATAAAAAAGGAAGAACTTTAATGAATTCTTGGTAATTTATATACCAAAATAATCGATCCATCTATAATTTGTGTCAACTGTACTATTATTCCCCAAATTGCAAGTTATTAATACGATAATAGCAGTAGTGAGTATCAAAAGCTTCGGTACGAATCGTTTATATTTCTTAATCGATTTTTTCTGCTTTTCACATTCAATGAACAAGTGACAAAAAATAGCACACATAATCTCACATATATACACTTACACTATCTCGGAAATATTTATGTCACTTACTGTTCATGTCTATTAAAATATTTCAATATAACCATCAAATGCTTACGGGTTGCATTTGGCAGCATCATCAGGAAAAAAGGGAAAACAAGTAAGAAAATTATATTTCGACATTCGACAATAGTGAATGTTGGTAGCCGCTTATGTACAGACTTCGTACGGTCACCTATAAAATATACTTGGAAATTCCTATCGTTGTACCTAATGTAGTTTATAAGTAATGAAAAGAAAGTCCAATCTTTTCCTTTTGACTGATTAGGCCCATTCTCAATTCCAATCTGAGTTCAAGAACTGCAAAGGTTCTTACCATATTTATGTCCACGATTGGGAGAATGTTTATCGCAGACCTTACACAGGCAGATGCACATCTCTAAATCGGTTCAGAATTTTATACTAGTTCGTAATATATATGCCTTTTGAAACTTCCTTCTGGGTGTTACAAACATATTAACAAAGTGAATATGCCTTAACGTCTTCGTAATGGCCACAAAACAAACTGCAAACTGTTATATAACGTAATACATAATTCTTAATTAAATTTTTTCAGATATCGAATATGCATCCAATATTTTTACCAGATTTGATATAACTTTTGCAAAGCCCTTTAAAAAATCGAAAATCGTATATTCTTGCCGAGCTTCATGATTTAAGATCCACGAGCGCTGGTCCTGAGATTTTTGCTCCAATAGAGTAGAATAAGAGATGACACATTTGTGTTCAAATCCCATGTTTTCTATGACATGTCTTACAGCCAAATTCTGACACTATGGGCGGTCACTAGCCGTAAGGAAAAACGATGTGTTTTGTTGTCACACATTTTGTTACAAAACAAGATAGTGGAAAATGCGATTTGTGATGAGAGGGCGACCGTTATTTCTCTTATAAAAATTGGTTTAAAATAGCATTCTTAGGTTAGTGATATAACCTAAAAAGACAGCGTTTAGTTACCACACAAGGACCTACATTGAGTTCCTCACAAATTCCCACAATTTGAAAAAATATTGCTCCGTAAAAAGTCTCTGCTTTCGCACGTTTACTTTCTAGATTCAAATATTTCTTAGATTAGGTTGAGTTGTGAGTTTTAGACTTTTCCATTCGATTGTCACGATTCAACCGAGCTTGTCTTATACCTTTTGCCTCTTGAGTTTCGTGCAAAGTGCCTCTAAACATTTCGTGAGTCGCCAGTTTCATAAAGTTTCTTTACTTCGTGACACATGCCAGGCAATGCATCGCATCTCTGTGCTTAGTTTCAACATCTTAAAGAGTTTCGTTTCCGAAAAGGAGGAGCAGTTTTGACGGGGACTTAGTTTATTAAATGTGGCCTTCAACGTAACAATATATAAATTTTTGATTAGTGGAATTGAATATATTTAGTCACTTGATCAGTATGTATGGTGAAATTGAAACTTTATATAGAAAAAGAAATTGAATCCCCATAAGCTCAATACAAAAACAAACTCAATTTGGTCGTTAGGTTCCCCAACAATCGGCTAATATGCACAAACAGATATTTACGCTTAAAACGCTTACCTATTAATATCTCGATTAAGTCGTTTCTTCGTAATTTATGTTAAAAACGTTATGGTGTATGTATGTTGCGTTATACACGTTGCTCTCTAGCGCAGGATAGATGTGTACATACAGCGTAAACAATATATATTATGTTGTAATACTTGTTACACACGGCAATGAAAGTGACTATGACGGGTTATAAGGTCAAATGTTTACGCTTTGTTTACGTTTGCATAGCATGGAACGCTTATAAAAGAGTACATGAAAAACTTTTTTGTTGACCGCGGACCGCGGTTTCAATTTACCAATACCTCTCTGTTAAATGCTTGCCTCAAGGATTAATCCAACATTCTTTACAGATTGTTGGTAATTGTTTTTTCTTCTTCTTGCGGCCGGGGTTCACGTTAATTGCAAACTTAGTTTCTGGCCATTAAACAAAGTATTTACGCAAAATTCTCGATTTTTTGTAAATTTTTGCGATCGGTGGTAGGTAAGCAATTATAGACAATGGGAAACAGGCAAAATGGGCAATTTCCTTTCATCAAGAATACATCAATTTTATTGAATCCTTGCATGTTACAAACAAGTGCCCAGCATCGAATGAATTGATCCAAGTTGAGCATGATTTTTTTCTTGTTTATTTTTTTTTTTTTTTATGAGGAATAAAAAAATGCAATAAAAACATTTACGATTTTTCCATACGGCTATTCGAACTACATACACATTAATAGAAAAAATATCATTTCGACATAAGACACCTGGTGTCGCAAAAACCCTCATGCATTTACTTCTGCTTTGCCAAAGGCTTGTATTAGTGCTGATGTAGGTTTGGATGTGTATGTTTTTTATTGGTGTTTATTTTATTTCTGTTGCCCGAAGTATATCAACGTTTTCATTTCATTTCGTTTTTTATACTTTGTTTTCTTCTTCGTTTCTAATTTTGTATTCCAGTCTACTATGGAAGTTTTAACAATTAACAGAATAAATATGTGTGTATATGTTTGTGTCTGCTTTCAATTTGCACTAACCAACTTAAACACAAATTTGTTTATCTTATGGCAAATACTTGAAAATTTATATATTATTAGATGTTTTTATTTTTATTATCCTTATGGACCGTTAGCAACACGCTTAGATCTTCGGTCACGTTATGTTTACTCATTCCCAGGGTGAACTCTTCATTTAAAGATAAAATGTATTTCAAGCATTTCTTTTAACGAGCACGTAATCATTTAATGCTGTTGCATTGCCAAGTCTTTATACTCAAGAATTTTGTTCGTTAAGCTATTATAATTTTTTTTTTTATTTTTTTTTTATTAGAATTGTTATATTAAAGTTTCTTAATGAAAGTAAGTGACACGTACGTAATGATTAGGAAAAAAAAAGAAGAAAAGGGATTGGAATACCTTGTGATATATTTCTAGAAATATTTTTATGCTCAACATAAAAAAAAAAAAAAAATCGTAGCCTTTTGACTTTTTAAGGTGAACAGCCAGACATATCATTCGCTGCAAAGAAGAAAAAAAAAATCGCTTCCCCCACTTATTTATTATAAATTCTGTTACATAGATGAGCAAGCACCCTTATAAATCTCCACGCAAATAAACCTTTCACGCCATACTTTATTCGGTTCGTATAGATAACCCCTTTGAACTACAGCAAGCAATTATGTTGATTATTTTCTGAAAAGCAGACGCGCATTATACACTTCCCCTCAAAACAAACTGAAAAACATCCAAAAGTCAACAAATGTTAAGATAAATCTATCATTGGTGGATTTTTTTTTGTTCAACTGAGTGTCTCAATTAGGTGATTAAATTCTATTTAGATCAAGAATTATTATCTCTTCGTTCTAATGTTATATACGTTTTAGAGCAAATTCTCGAACAGGAAAACATGGGCACCTGAGTGTCTTCTACCTAGTGCAAGACACAATTGAATCTGCATGATATCTACACAGATCATATGTTAACAAGTTCTACATGTACCCAAAACCTCCATCTATCTTTAGTGCGCGAAAAATTAATTAAAATTTGTACATCGTAAATTTATGTACATTCGAATATCAGTAGACCGTCGCAAGCAAGAAAACTACATTCATATTAGATGGGTTCTTAAATGTCAATTGTCTGGAAAAGATTGTTTTCGTTGTTAGTAAAGGATAGGTTAAAAAAAATCCTACTCCTTAAATGATAAATATTTCTGACATTCTTTCTGAAATTCAGTTCGTTCCTGATGTACGGTACAAATTTTTTAATCGAAATTTACTGCAAGTTTTCGCGTTTTTGAGTTTATTAGTGCTATTATGAATGTGCTTGTGATCGAATCATGTCTTTTTCGAAGTTCAATCTATAAAGCACAACCGACCCAATTATATAGCATGTCAATTTGTGAGGCTTTAAAAATACCGGCTTTAAGATAAGCTTTACGATAAAAGGGCTAGAGATACATGGCACCATGACTGCGGACTTACGCACATACAAATAGATATGTAATGATTGGGGGCACAAATAGAAGCTAATGGATGTGAATGGTACGGAAAGCTATATGTAAAATACTTAGTGTGCGCCTCTCGATTTACACGATCTTTTAAACATATGAGATGAACTGCACGTCACTATATCCATAAGCATATCACGTCAAGTTAATGGATTCGGAGGCCTGGCGAAATTGAAGGCTTAACGGATTCTTAAATTTTTGAACTCAGTTCATAGGTCAGCCACACGAGATCATTGCAACGCTTCACTTGCTTTAGATAAACACTAACGCCATCAAAGAGTCTCCCGCCGTTTCCCAAGCCATGCCAAGATATATGTTGCTCCACGAAAAGATCGAGGAACACTTGCACAGATACATGAGAGTATATGCGAGTCGAAAAACAGGCATGTGAACAGGTTATTCAATGATGAAATTAAGTGATTACTTACTCAAAGTGATCAAGAACATATTTTCTTTAGATTGTTTCCAATGCGTCATACTTCCCACATCAGGTGAAAAGGTTGTCAGAAGTTATTTGATTATTTACAAATTTTTTGTTTCGCTTGCGAAATTCACTTTGATTGGGAGTTCGATAAAATTTTGAATAAACGCCTTTTTTTTAATGATTTCAGAGAAGCTTTAGATGGTTTTGGCATAACCGAATGTGGTTCGTTGGCCTGTTTGTCGAGTCCGTGCCGCAATGGTGCCGCTTGCATTAAAATTGAAACCAATGAAGTCGATGAGAATGGAGATAAAGTGGAGAAATGGAAATGTAAATGCCCTACCGGTTACATGGGACCCACTTGTGAAGTGTCGGTTTGCGAGGATAATCCATGTCAGTATGGCGGCACCTGTGTGCAATTTCCTGGAAGCGGCTATCTATGTTTATGTCCATTGGGAAAACATGGCCATTATTGTGAACACAGTAAGTTCTTTATATACTTCAAAGTCAACAGGTGGGGACGTTAGTTATAGACTGACGTTAATATGTAGAGTTTCTAGTAAAGAACAGCAGAACAGCTGCGCAATTAAGATAAGGATTTCTATCTTTTTCACGGAACAATTTTGCCGTTATGACCATTAACGTTGAATAAGCATCCATCGGACATCGTTAGGACGTCAGCTATCTTTTGCAACTTTACTTTTCGATTATGGAACATAATTTTCTGGTTACATTTCCATGTTTTCTGGTGCAAGCACTTCTTTTGGACGTCTAGTGCGTTCAGCAACACGTTGGTATCGTTACGAAATTGTTTAAGTTCAGCAAATCACCGAGAAATTGATGTTTGCGATAAAGAAAAGTTGCCAAAGTAGTTTCAAAATCAATGCTGAGCACGGAAAACAATTGTAATTGAAACAGCTTGAGACCTGTAGCAGACTTCATTTCAGATTACAATATTACTATAAATAATAAAGCCTTTTATTCCAATCACGACATATATGTGTCAGTACAGTAAATGATGGACCGATGCATGATGCTATCGTCTTTGCGCTACGCAAATGTAATTAACGTTTCTTTACAAACTTAACAGATTTGGAAGTGGCTTTACCCTCGTTTTCGGGCAGTGTCAATGGATTATCTTCGTTTGTGGCGTACACGGTGCCAATACCTTTGGAGTATTCCCTTGAATTGAGTTTTAAGATATTACCGCAGACTATGTCTCAAATAGCTTTATTAGCTTTCCTTGGCCAGACTGGTTATCATGATGAAAAGAGCGATCATCTGGCTATCAGTTTCATTCAAGGTTATATAATGCTAACATGGAATTTGGGTGCCGGTCCACGACGTATATTCACCCAAAAGCCCATTGATTTTCGTTTGGATGCTCCCCGCGTGCCTTACGAGATTAAAGTAGGGCGCATTGGCCGGCAAGCATGGCTCTCAGTTGATGGTAAATTTAATATTACTGGCCGTTCGCCTGGCAGTGTTAGCCGTATGGATGTTATGCCCATTTTATATTTGGGAGGGCATGAAATAGCGAATTTCCATACTTTGCCACATGATCTACCATTGCATTCTGGCTTCCAAGGTTGCATTTACGATGTGCACCTTAAGGCTGGACAGGTGACCGTACCACTGCAAGAGACACGTGGGGTAAGAGGACGCGGTGTAGGACAGTGTGGCACTAGAGAATGCCATCGTCATGCCTGTCAGCACGACGGTGCTTGCTTGCAACATGGTGCAACGTTCACGTAAGTGAAGCAGTAGTTTTATAAAACATTAAAAAAACATTAAAAAAACGTTTTATTTATGTAGTTGCATCTGTCAAGAGGGCTGGTACGGCCCGCTGTGTGCACAACCCACAAATCCTTGCGATTCATTTAATAATAAATGTTCGGATGATTCGACATGTGTACCATTGGTCAATGGTTACGAATGTGATTGCCCGGTCGGCAAAACGGGCAAGAATTGCGAAGAAGGCAAGTACATTTTGCAAAATAATTTATTTCCTTTTTGCTTATTTTTTTATTTTTTTATTCATTGTATGCAGCGATACATTCGTTAAGTGACGTTTCATTAACTGGTCGTCGCTCTTATTTGGCGGTGAGATGGCCCTACTTTTATGAAAACTCCGATAAATTAGGTTCAAAGCGTTCGCAAATGATTAGTTATCGTAACTTCACCAAAAAACTAATGCCTCCTAAGCCCATTAGCTCGGCAAATCAACACTTTGTGATGAAACTTTTGAATGAAGTGGAAAAACAACGCAGTTTCTCTCCCGTACCCTTGAAAACTTATGAAGAACATCATCGGGTACAATTCTTTTTCATAGAATTCCAACTCAGGCCGCTTTCCGAGCGTGGCTTGCTACTCTACTTTGGCACTCTTAACAATAATCAAGACAAGAAAATTGGATTTGTATCGTTGTCATTGCAAGGCGGAGTAGTAGAGTTTCGTATATCTGGACCTAACAGCCATGTGACAGTGGTACGCAGCGTGCGCATGTTAGCCATTGGAGAATGGCATAAAATTAAAATGGCTCAAAGAGGCCGTTGGCTCACCCTTTGGGTGGAAGGAAGTGCTTCCTCCGCGTTAGCGCCTACCGCCGAAGTTTTAGTAGAACCTGATTCTCTACTTTACATAGGTGGCTTGAAAGATTTGTCGAAATTGCCTCATAATGCTATTTCAGGCTTTCCCATACCTTTCCGAGGTTGCGTTAGAGGCTTAGTTGTTAGCGGCTCAAGAATTGTTCTTAATGAGACGAACATTATGGGTAAGTGCGGTAACCTTAAACAAAGTAAATTTGCATAGAAAATAAAAAGATGTCATGATCTACTTGAAGAATCGCGTAATATACGCGACTGTGATGGTACGGCCTGTGGGGGTGATTCTTGTGAGGCCGGCGGTCATTGTTGGTTGGACGAGAAATTGCAACCGCATTGCATTTGCCCTGAATATGCCAAAGGAAACCGTTGCGAATATTCAGAAACTTGTAAACTAATACCTTGCAAAAACAATGGACGTTGTCTAAGAAGCGGTCGCTGTTCATGTCCCAACGGTTGGGGAGGTTTCTATTGTGAAATTGGTAAGTTACGGTAGACACAAATCAGATTTCATTAGCAATCAACTTGCGGAAGGTACCTACGTATCAGTATGAATGAATACACAGAAAAAATAGATAATAAACAAGTTTTAAGTTTTTTAATACAAAACTTTGACTGATACACGTATTTACAAAGAAAACAAAAACCAATAAGTAAAAGTCACGGAATTTCTATTGATGTCGAACTACGGGTGATGCTGATGAAATTTCAAAAACAAAAACTAGAAACGCGATAGACGAAAACGAATCAGAACGACTTGCATAAGCGCAAAACTATGAATTAAAAAAATTCGCATAAAGTCGTTTCAATTTAGTACTATAAACTTCTTACAGCTTTGGGCAAACCGACGACTCCCAGTTTTCGCGGGAACAGCTACCTAGTACTTCCGCCACAACGTATACCGATGAAAGATAAACGCAAAGGCCCTTCTTTATATATACGACCGCGTGAAGCTTTACAAATCTCTTTGAATTTCTCCACCATTGAACCGGACGGTTTACTGTTGTGGAGCGAACATGATAATACGAAATTCTTAGGCTTAGGTTTAGAAGATGGTCATTTGAAACTGGCCAGCAATCTATTGGGATCAATTAACGATACAGTCTCTGCGCCATCAAGTGGTTTCATTGCCGATGGTAGTTGGCATACAGCCAAAATTATATTAGACCGCGGTCTGCTGGAGTTACAGCTGGACGGCGAAGTGGTATTCAGTGAGAAACTAGCTTTGGCAGAAAGTTTAATGCCCAGTACTACCACAACGTCTACGACACCATCCCCATATAGAACACGGACGCGTTCTTCACTGGCCTTACGCAGAGGCAAACAGCCTACCATCACATACGAGAATACTTTCTATTTAGGTAAGTGAAATTAAATAAAATCTAAAATAAGTTTCCTTCAAAGCAAATAAAATATATTGATTGCGCTTTCCATTATCAGCATATCACCGAAACAGTCAGTGCTTGGCGCTGAAGATAACTTTCTTTATGTTAACTTAAAAATAATCAAAAGAGTATTGTTAACTTACCCGGTCAGTTAGCCCCTAAGACTATCACATACACTCACTATGGAAAGTTTTTGCTTGAACACTTTAATAGTAATTAACATAATGTAGCAAATAAACATTGCTGCATATAATGACAGTTCACATACATGTTCGTTAAGGAATTAAAGTGAATAAGTAAATTTTCTTTTCCAGTTAAACAATTCAAGTAACAATGAAAGTACATATATAAAACAACAAGTCACTTTTATTTCTCACAAATGCATTCATTCACATGTAACAGTTATACGTTCCCTTAAAATTGACCAACTGCATGATTTGTGAACTCTAGCATTATCGCGGTATGTCACCGAAAGCACCTTTCCATCAAGAAAACTATTGCTTATTAAAGTTCCAGATGAATGAATATACGTACGTACGTACAATGGTTGGTTGAACTCTCACAAATAAACAGCAGCAATACTAACTGGCTCTTTGCCTTTGCACTGTTATTTGAACTTTTTCGTAGTTTCTTTTTTCACTCATATAACTCAACACAATCGTTTTTTTTTTTTTTTTTTTCTTTTTCTTACCTCTTGTGTCTTTGCTTTGGTTACGCTTTGTTTGTTTTCATTTTTGCTTAAGCTCAACTCCGATCTTCATGTCTGTATCATGTCTACAGTATATTTGCTCTGTCGTTATTACCACTGTTGTTGTTAATCTTTTAACTATGTACAAACAACAAAAGCAAAAATTACTTGTCTTTTGAAAACGATTCACACGGAGAAATTTGAAGAGCTTAACTGAAATTTCTTATTTTCGTCTTTTAAAGGTTTGCACTCACTAAGAGTACTCTTTTTGATATTGACTAAGTGAAAAAGGATTTGTAAAAGTCTTTTTAAGGATTGTTTCAGACAAGTTAAATGTTATTTCAATAATAAAGAACTGAAATGCCGAATTTTCGGAAACATGTGAATATTATTAATTTCAGGTTTTGCTAACTTATTGCTTTGACTACTTCATCTTAACGATCTTAACGATTGCAATTACTTACTGAATAAAACTGCTGTCAAAACTTGTATTCTCACGTTTGTGAGCAAAAACAGCTGATCATTAGGTATTCTCTTCATTCAAAGCATTTCATTTCTCTTAATCGAGCTGTTTTCCTTATTAAACCAATGCATTCACACTATGTACTTAAAACGTACTAACGCTAAGCGATATCTTCTCAATGGTGAAATTTACTTTTAAAAGAGCGCTTATGAGTACAAAATCAAACATTAGCGAATAAAAGAGAAATTATGTTTCATTTTAAGTGATTTTTTTTTAATATACATCACCATAGCTTGTATTCCGAATACAAGCAAAGCCTTTATATTTTATATTATGTTTACATATATGATATGATGGTTAATGATAACATAACTGTATCGGATATAGATTGAATCTCTTATTAAACATTTAATTACGATATTTGAAGGTAACTTAAAGCAAATGATTAAACATATGCTTATGCATTTTGCTAAAACCTCATAGATATTTGTATAAACTGAATACTTCTTACTAATGTAGGGATTTTTTAAAATTAGTGACGAATGGTGGGATACAAATTAAATTAATATCCGAGCTCTCTAAGGGAAAGTTAACAGTAACAAATTTAAAGTACAAATCACAAGTTTCCCAAATGGCGTTATAAGCAAAAGAGAAACATTGTCGACACATTTATTTTTGAAGGTGTGAAATCTACATCAGATAAACATAAGGACGATTTCAACACACGTACATCATAGAGATATGAATAGAAAAATGAATGTTATTCGCTATGATGGAAAGCTTACATGTGTCCGAGATGTATTTCGAAGCTTTATAATCATTTGACGAATATCTAATCAACCCTCGTTGAGCATATAACAAATAGATAGTAAGAAAAAGCCGTAATCGACTGAGGTCGAGTCGTTTTACTTTAAAACTCATGGAAATATCGCATTTGTTCATAGCTCTTACCTACGTCCTCTGCTGTCGCAATGCAATGCGATACCTAAAGGCGTCCCATTAATTTTGAGAAAAAAGAAATATTTTTCCAACTCTTCTTTTGACTATAATAAAAGAGTTATTTAATTCAAACTCTTAAACGTATGAAAGAGCAACATTTCAACTATAATTGGTAAGACTTTTTTTTAAAAATTTTGAAAATTAAGGCATTGGATGTGTTGTGATTTTCGAAAACCCTGCTTTTTTCCCGTCGGACACAATAACTTTTCATAGCTGGAATCAAAAAACCAAACCGCATTCTATTCTCCAAATCCTCTTATGTGATACCCATACTAACGGTATTATAACGAAAAAATTCATCCGCAACGTCATGACATCCACAATAGTCAAATTAAAACTAACACACTTACCTTGCCGCCTTCTACTGTCCAAAATATTTTTTTGATACCCATATCGCTGATATTATTAAGGAAAAAGTAATCACCTATGTCTACCGTATTCATTTTAAAATTAAACCATTTTTACGCAGATAATACGTCTTCATTTGAAGAATGTTCAAAATAATTGTAAACATTCTATCTTGTTTACCTTATGATTGATACGCGAAATGACAAAAAGAAAATGTGATCTCTTGTAACTTTGTGTGGACATGATCCATTCTTTCCATTTCTGCATACAAATGGAAAAGTTTTCCGTAAAACGTTTAAGGTTAACGAACAAAAGTCTATCAATTTTTTTAGAAAACCGGCGTTACGTTCGCCACATTGACGCACGGATGGATAGACATGGGTTAATAGTTTCAGGATTTCATGCCGACCAAGGATATATATAATACATTATAGAGTCTCTGAAGCGTCCTTTTGGATGATGCAAACGTTATAACAAAAATTGAATCCATTTCAATGCAGTCAAAACGACCAATACCTACAGGCATGAATAGTTTCTTGACGCAATGAACAACAATACTTACCTATCCCAACATAAAGCAAATTTTTAGAAGTTTGATATTTTAAATATCGCAATTTTCGAAATGAAGGAGAATAAATAGATGAGAATATTTACTTGACGCTTTCAAATTCCTCGTTACTATCAAAAATCTTATCCAAAGTAAAAGTACACTTAAAACTTCACGCCAACATTTCGCCCGACTATCTAAATATGAGTAAAAAATGATTCCAATTAATTAACTGATATGAACACCATTACCAAAACGATTTTTGCAATCTTCGAAGCAATTGCTGTAATAGATATGCCGCAAAGTCGACACAATCCCACATTTTGAAGGAGCTTCTTCTACATATTGCAAACGATATGAAAGCAGTCTTCAAAACATATCGCATGCGATTTAATTATGAAATTTCCGAAAATAAAATAACACATCACACAATAAGTTCGTACATACAATCTTGGGCAATGTAAAATTTTGAGCCCATCTTGACGTGCCTGTCAGTCTTTAACCACTCTATTGTGCACATACTCTCACTATTGTCCTTACGGCAAAACTTAAGATGCGAGTTTCAAAGTTTCGGAGCTGATTGCATCTTAGCTTATTGCAGGAGGGTTAGTTTCGAAAATCGACGAATACAGTCAAAGAACACGCAACCGAACGGAACATCAACTGAGACGAACTCTGTTCTTTGCATTCTATTGATGTTTCTGCAGTATCTGTACGAAGACGGACAAAATCGGCCGGGTCCACTCAATAATTATTTATTTATTCATCTATTTATTTATTTCAATTCAAATTGGTTCAAAAAATTTCAACCAATGAAGATACCAGAGTGTATATAAAATTTCTAGGACGCAAGTTATAGATAATGTTATAATGTACTTAAGGAGTTACGATAAGCATTTGATAATTAAAACAAAAATATTGCGTCTATAACGAGGTAGCCTAATGACATAAGCACTAATATGAGAAGCTTAATATGAGAAGCCTTTAGGCAACCGATTGGCAACCGATGGTAATGGACATATCTGGATCAGTATGCGAAACTACTGATACTTTAAATGTGAGCAGTTAATATAGTTTAGATACGACATTGGCAGATCAAGCGAATAGAAAACCACTTATTGGATATTGTTTAACGAGTCCAACATTAAGATTGACTTATAGGCGCCATATAGAGTTTTACACAGAACTCTGAACGGGTTAAAAAGTTGGTAGTTATATATATATATATATTGGTCAAGCGTTATGTGTATCAAAATTGCCGTAAAACGGTTACGAACAATAAAGATTAAAGAGAATATCAAAATTTCATGTTTTTATACTCGACACCGAGAAATGAGTGACATATTCATCTTATCGAAACGTTTGCAACGTCAGGAAGAAAGTTGCAAAGACTGCGCAAAGTGTATGTATTCTTGATTCGTTTGTCCGTCTGTGTAATGAGCGTTGTAAACATTCTCCTGGCCGCAAAATTAAACTATTGACTTTAGATTTGGCAAAAACATTGAAAGCTCTTGCATGCAGATAGGTATTGAAATAGGGTCAAATCGCTTTAAGCACCCACCCGGTACGATACTACGTAACTTGGGACATCTTTGGTTTTCAAAAAGAATAAAACATTGGTTTGTTGCTCATTACTCATAAACTACGGCAGATAAATCAAAAATTTTAACGTACATTGTATGGGCTGTACTGCTGTAGTACTTCTACAAATAAGCCACACCTACTTAATTTTATGATATCATATCTATTTTTTCAAAACTTTTATAACGTGCAGAAGCAAGATTCAAAACCCCCTTAAAGTGTATAAATTTTTGGCCCGTTTCAGATTCGGAATGCATTTAAGCATTTCCGTCTGGTCATCTGTCCATTTGTCCGTCTGCACAACTAGTATTTGCGTTAAATATTCTCCCTTTCGCCAGAATGAAGATATTACTTACAAACCTGCAAAAGAGTTTGAAAATCCCAAACCGAAAACTTGCAAAGAACGCGCCTGTAGCGTCTACATGTGTATGTAACAAAAATTGGAATGGCTTTTATTCGAAACATAGAAAAAGTCGACTGCGCCTACTCAATATTTTAGAGTATGAAAATGTAGTTGTTTTCCTTTTCTTAGGACCACGATGGTGAATAAAAAAGATTCGGTGAAGACCGAATATAATTTTCTTACTTGGTTTTGTTTCGTTTTTTAAGAAATAAATGATGGGTAGAAAGTATTCAGCTGGAGGCAGTAAGTATAATTACTTGTCAGTTGCTTACATTAAATCGCGAGCCAACCTTTTATCATTATTATGAAACGTAATCCTTAGTATCAAAGTTAATTAAATCAGTCGATGGTAACTGAGAGTATGACCTTAATCTGATAGTAAGAAAAATAAGTAGGAATAGAAGCATAATTTTTTACCTGATATTTTGTATTACTCTGCTATTGATTATAGGTGGTTTCCCCAATTTGGATCCTGTGAACAAACGCACCCAAGGACGCTTTGAATTGCCCTTCAAGGGTTGCCTGCAGGACATACAATTTGGAGCTGAGCCCAATACGTTAATTAAAGACTTTTCGACGTATCAAGGAGAAAATATTGGATCCTGCGATTTGCATGGTGATGAACCGATAGTTGTTGTGTAAACTTTCAAGAGTTTTGCAAAATCATTAGAAAAACAAGGGAAACAAATTTTAGGCAAAACATATAAATAAATACATACATTAATGCAAAAACAAAAAAAGAAGGAAAATCAAACTTGCTAAACAAAACTATAAAAAATGATAAGAGAAAAAAATAATATTAATTTACAATGAAAAGAAAGCAAAATTCCAATTTAAATTTTAAGCGAAAAATTGAACAAAGTAATTTTGTAAATTTTATAAAAAAAAATAATAATAATAAATGAATAAACAAACAAAAGATGTAATAAGAAATATACAAATTGATAAAAATTAAACTCAAGTCTAATAAAACTTAATAGCAAATAAAAGAACAAAAAAAAAATTAGTTTTAAATTATAGGTGAAGGAAAAAAACACTTAATGTTCGGAAAGATTAGTGTAGAGTGACAAAACCGAGAAACAAAAAACAGAAATAAAAAATATGCTGAAAATGTTAAATAAAAAATTTTTTTTAACTATATAACATTTAGATACAACAACAAAAAGAAAAATTTTAAACACAACTTAATATTAGAATTGAAATTATTTAAAAAAATTAAACGAAAATTACTTCAACTTTATTCAGTAAGAACAAATTAAAAATAAAATTCGTTTAACATCGAAACGAAAGTATTATTATAACCAAATCACTGTAGGTGAAAGAAATTTAAATCGATATAATAGGGAAACCAAGTAAACTCTCTCTTTTTCATTCTTCAAATTCTACAATAAAATCGAATGCTGAAGATCAAGACTAATAGACTAATGTTTCGAAATATTTATTTCTTCTGAAACCTTCGGACCGACTCAGTAGTAGAACTTTTTAGACCGGAATGCAAGTAAAAGTGATTTCAATGCTGACAGCCTTGGGGTACGGGAAGATAAACAGCGATAGAAACAGAAAACTTGCTATGTGTGAGTATAATTAAGAAAGACTTTACGTCTACCCTTTAAGCTGGGGAATAGATGAACGCGCCCGTCATGGCGAACGTAATAAGGACATTTCGAAAAGTTTCGGCGTTAATATTTTTTACTTATAATAACTTGAAGAAGAAAAACGGAACTTTCTGTCGTTGAATGCTCTGTACCCTAAGCATAACAGCGTAATTGGCCTATCAATACTACACCAATAACAAAGAAACAAAAGGTTTGCCCAGACTTAAATCTTCTCTCCTAAAATGTAGGTGAAGGGCACTTTTATTCCTAACACTTAAAACTATATAACGATAACCATATGTGTACATATACTTATATGGCCATATGCATGTGTGTATGTATGTATTTGCATACATGTAAATGTATATAAATATCGTTATATATATATATATTTGCGATCAATCTCAAATTCTGTGCCCGTTTAGTTATGGCTGTCTGTCTTTCTGTCGTCTGCTATTAGATCTAGCAATGCGTCCAAAAGCAATACCGAAAAGTGAAACCTAATATTTTTAGGGAAAACTATGTTACCAAGAATTTCATTCCCGATAGCTAAAGCGCTGAAATAACTTTAAAAAAAAAATTTTGAAAATCTTAGTGTATTTTCAGAATATAAATTACTTATTTATGAGTTTTAACGAAAGTTGATCCGAATTCTAATGCAAAACGAAAGTGATGCTAATCGGCCCCTGGACATGACAAAAAATAACAGAAATCATCCGAAACTATAGCGCTCGCTATCACATGTTTCTCCAAAACACACTTTCGATGAATTGCTGTATTAAGAGTGGAACGCATGTCATGATGACCCATATCTGAAACCCTGTGGGATATTTATATATATATATCATATATATATATATGATTAAAGTGAAATTTATACTCGCCTTAACGTCCGTCCCATTTATGGGCACACCTATTCTTCTTAGCTTTATCTTTACATTAGGAGTACAATACAAGGTCGTCGCGACCTAGATTTGAGACCCAATACAATACATATGTATTTTATTAGAGTGAAACTTACACTCGCCTTCCGTTCCGTTTATTCGTGTTTCTTAACTTTAACTGTGCTATTCTTAACCAAAAGATCGGAAAATGTGGTAAAAATTATGCCGCGCGATATATTCGCTTCAAAGCTGCTACAAACACACACTGTAGTTGTCTTATTTGTGCCGTGAGCCAACTTGCCGCTACCATTCATTAAGAATCCTTCTTTTAAATCTTGAACTCCGTCCACCTATCTTTCTTTTTCTTAGGATAATAGATGACGGAAAAAATTAGAATTAGTTTTAAATTTTGTAGCTTTTATAGGTTTCGTTGAGTAGGTGGCTCTCGAGATCAAGTTTACGGAGCTAAGTTTTATACATTACACCAGTTTTGGTGCAAAGGTGTATTAAGTTAGCCTGATGTACATACAACACTCAGAAGGACTTGAGATACATCCAACTTTTTCTATACTCGTCGCTTCCGAATCATTCAGCTTGTCTGTCCGTCTGTCTCACTTATTTTCTTGCCTATAAGCTGTAATTTCGAAGTACTTTAACGAAATTTGGAACACTGACGTGTTTTGGTCTAAGGGCGAACGTTATTGCAAATGTTTCGGATCGGATAACTTTTCGTACCTCTTCCCATATAATCCGTTATTTTAAAAAGTCGATAAATTAATAAGTGTAGAGTATTTAGTGATTGGCCCCGTCCACTGTGACGCTTTTTTTATTTATGTAAAACATTCAGCATATTGTTCAAAGATTCTGAGTCAACTTATCTAGGCAAGCTTGTTCGTTTGCTGTCTGCTTTTGGCGCAGCTATGTTAGCGAAAAAGGCATTTTTAAGCTTTATCAGAACTTATTTTAAATTTGTTACAGATATCAGGTAGATGTAACGTAATTAAATATGTTCCATAAGATGGACTAAAATGGACTGACACGATGACAAGCTAACAAGAAAGTTTTTGGTTTGTTGAGACTGTGCCTGACTTGATTTATTTTTCAAATACTTCTCAACATTTTTTAAATTAGTCAATTTGAAGTCATCAACTGCTTGGCAAGTTCAGACAGATTGTTATTAATAAAGCCTCCCAAACTTTTCATCTCTGGTGACTAAGGCATTTATACATACATTTCCGTTCTTTTTTTTATTCTTTTTTTGATCAAATTAAAACTCAAACTAACTTGTGTTCATCTTAGATACCATTTGTTGTTATTATATTTATAGTTAATTTAGTTTCAATCTCAAACACTATAACTGCCCCTTGAGAAGAAGAGAAAATGATTCTCTTTCTTTTGAAACTAATCTGCCATTTTTAATAATTTATGATCTCGTATATAAAAGTTAACTCTTTTCCTCTTCATTGCCTCCCGATCCTCTCTATAATTTAAAAAAAAAAATTTTTTAAGAAAAATGTATTCTATTTTTAAAGAATTTTAATATAACTAAAATGAAAAAAAGAAACGCATGAAAAATTAAGAAAACATTTAAAACTAAGCCATTTAGTTGCCTTGTAGTGTTATCTGATTATTAAAAAAAAAAAAACCATAAAAAAGATGGTGTTTGAAAAAAAAAAAGTTTTTCTCTTCTATGTAAACACTTTAGGATTTTTAGTTCAAGTAGTTGAATACTTTCCACCCAAACATTAGAGGAAATAAGCGTAAAAAATAAAAAAATAAGAAAGGAAAAAACCAATTAACCCAACCAACCATACTTATATATGTGTTTGTGTAACAACAGTTATATAAAATTATACATTAAATTAAATTATTATTCTCTTACTTATGTATTGATTGATATATAAAAGCATATATACTCTATATATTCTATACTATAAACCAAAATTCTGTCATATACTTATACATAAATATGTATGCATATATATACATACTGTACATCTGTACTACAACCAACAAGAACGAAATGATTCTTAAATAATATCTAAAAATTCTATAAAAATTATTTTCTAAAAAATGTCGTAAATAATTAAAAAGAAGACCTAAAACAGCAAAGATGATATAAAAAGGTTTAAAATAAAAAAAAAAAAAAAGAAAAACAAAAAAACAACATTAAATACCAAAAACTTCAATTACATTAATGTTTATTGCAATGATGATAAATTGCATTACCTTTTCGTAAAATTTATGAACTTTTTTTGTGACTTATACATATAAATATGTATTGAATTGAATTTTGTCGTATTGTAGAGAGAGAAATCGAAAAACGTTATTTTAAAAGAGACATTAATAAAAAACCAATTAAAAAACCCCTCTGTTTTCATTACTGTATATATAAAAGTAACTGTTCGGAACGGCAACCATCGAGCAGTGTGAGTAATGTATCATATTCTGACCTTTTATCCTTAATATGAAAGTCGCGAACGAAGGAGGAGTTGGCGGGAGCAATGCGATGTCGAGCTACACATTATGTTTATAATATTTTCCTTTACTTACTATTTAGTATAAAAAAGAAATAATATTATGTGTGGACATAAATTTGTTCTGTTTTTTTATAAAATTCAACTTTATTTCACATATAATAATCGAAGTATGGACCATCCATATTAGTTTTTGAGTACGTAGATCTGTTTTGCCCGAGTCACTTTCGTATAAGGATACTTCTACATAGTAAGCCTTTGTATGGCAAGAATATATGATTTTTAGTGCTTTGTCACGAAAATAGGTAAATAAAAAGATCCTTTAAGGGGAGATTCATTTTGCTAAAATTCGGACAAAATCAGTCATATTTCGGCATAAGTTCGTATGGAACTAACATATAATTTTTGGTTTTTCGCCGCGAAAATAAATAAATAACTGTACTAGACGAAGTGGTATAGGATATGTAATGATTGACCTTGCACCACTGTAACGTTACTTGTTTCTATTTGATTTGTTTACATTACGCCCTTTATTATTTTGCAATTTACATACCATTTGTCGCATGCGTTTCATTTATTTTAATAAAGGTTTTTCTTTGTCGTTATTCTTTTACATTTTGTTTCTCACTTTTTTCTTTTTAGTCTTAATTTCATATATATATATATATATATATATACATATATATATATAGTCAATATTATTTACTCACACACACTATCCTGAATAGTTAGGACCCCTGGTCATCTCCCACAATTAACGATTATATAACTATAACAAAAACCATTGCAACATTCGTTCTAGCAAATAAAAATACTACACCCTACACCGCTTCGCTGAGTGCGGTTATTCATGTAACGGCTTTCCAAAATAAGGTCTTATAGGGAAATTGATCAAAAAAGTGGGTCGTTCCGAGCCATTTTCAATAGCGTTTGCCCTTGGACCAAAGCATGCCGATGTGCCAAATTTCATCAAAACGTCTCGAAAAATGCGGCCTATAGCTTGAACACAAGAAAATAGAACAGACAACCAAACAAGCTTTTTGAATCGATCGGATGAATGAAGCAAGGTGGACCTATCTCAAGTCCTTCTGCCTGTTGCATACATCCGCACAAGGTTAATATACCCTTGTTTCCTTCCTTCTTGTCTTTAGAAAAATGCATACGTAATCCGAAAAGGTACACATTTCGTCAAGCAGCTTAGTTCGCTTTGCTTTTTAATTGCGATTCATTTTCGGAAATCATTTTCGCAATCGTACTAATGTAGCCGTCGGCGTCTCGATCTTCTATTAATGTTTTCCAAAAATAGAATCGATTTTCTCTAAATTTATAATACATTAAAAAAACGAAGTGAAAAATATATTAATATTCAGTGTTTTACATACAAAGAAGTACAAATCTTAGAGAATACAAAAAAAAAGAAATGCTTTGTAAGAATAAAACCGAGGCATATACTGAATTTCTCCCACAGTAATGGCTTTTTTCCTTGAACTCGCTCGAGGCATATGCCTTCTGAAAACATGACCCAAATCTAGTGAGTATCTAGCGAGTAGAGAGTAGACTCCTTTCGTTTTTTTTTTTTTTTTGGTTGTTTGGGCATCAGCAAAATTTTATTTTATCGAAACAACTTCTGCACTTGAAGGATGACTCAAATAAACCTCTTCCTAACAGCTTCAGGTTTCTGATTTACTGTTATGCCAGTAGAAAAAAGGCAAGATGCTTAAGGGAAAAGTTCAACTGCAAGAAACGTTGTTAACAATGCAAAGAATTGATTAATAATAGAATTGATTAATGATAATTCCATAAAAATAGTCTTAATATCTTCCCCTTACCTGTTTAAAAAGCAAGATTGCTATCTTAGTAACCGCTCAACTCATAGTAATGTGTAAAGCATATTTTTACACATAATAAAAAATACTCGTCTTGAGTCATTCAAGGGAAGAGATAAGTGAGAGGCTTATTTTAATTGACAGAGATTTCAAAGAAAAATATTGCAAATCAGAAAGGGTTATATTTAAGTCGAATATATTATGTTTTATTTCCTGTTTTTATATCATTTATATCACTACTTTCTACATGAGGGTATATTAAGTTTGTATTTCACCTTTTATTGTACCGCAGAAGAACTTTGGTGCCCGCCGTTCTACAGCTATTTATATATCGACTTTCCAAAGGCGTTATATGGGAAGTGATCGAAAAAGTGATCCAACACGAACGGTTTCCAATCCTGTTCGAACTTCGCCAATTTGTGAGCCAAACTTGAAGTCGATTACATTTTCGCGATCAGTAGAATGTTTATCACAGACAGATAGACGAGCAGACGCCCTCCAATCCGTTTGAAACTTAACCGAAAATATTTCTGAGGTTTCCGTCTGGGGGTTGGAAACGTTTTGACAAAAGGAATATTTCCCTTATCATTCGGTGTTGAGCATAAAAAATTCTCATTTTCAATCAAATCAAAAATCCAGGGAAAAACTTTACGAGATTAATGATTATGCAAAATATAGGACAGGCGGGAAAGATTTTCGCAATGTTATTGAAAGAATGTTTTGGTTTAAAAATTCGTCCAATTTTCCACAAATATCCTTAACAATGCATTCTTTCATCATTTTTGAAGAAAGTCTAGTCCTTGGCATCTACAACAAATATCCTTCACTTGCAAACGTGTACATTTCATCGTACTTTGGCCAGAGGATATAATAGTAGTATGTTAACCATCAGTCATTATTTTATTCTTTGCAAGGAGACAAGCTGCCTTTTACAGACTTGCCCTAATCTTCAGGGCAAATAGGCTAAATTCTCCCCACGCCTACTCATGAAACCAACGAGCCAGAGCAGAAAATTCAAACGTCTTTACAGCATTATTTAACTATTTGAAAGATTTTCATCAATTATTGGCTGGATCTGGAACGAGTAATGACGTAGAATGTGGTATATAAAAAGTCATTAAAGCGCCTGTTTTTAATATTCGATGTAATGGAATAAAACCAAATTCTAGTTTACGAACATGATCCGAAATGGTTTCTTGAGCTGAATTGAGCCTCTCCGCAATCCCCGATTTCGTCGAAAAAGGTCTTTGGTCTAATATTATCTTATCGTCATCGATCAGAGATGGTCGCCTAAAGCGTGGTTTATCAGAACGGCCGAACTCATCTATTTCGAATCATCTTTCCAACGTTCTATTAGAAAATTAATTTTCAGCAAACACTTTAGCACAATCAAGTTCTCTACGCTTCTGTAGCATTGCCTCCTTATGGGAGTCCGTGCAAATTGTAGAAGAACTTTATCAATACCCACAGGGGGTACACAATCGTTTCGGACTTGATGTTAGCATAGATTCAGTGATAAAAAGTGCGCACCTAATATACGTGAAACGAATGAATGAATGTGCGCGTACATGGCAGACCTTTCTCGTAAATCAACTATAAGTGGAAAGAGTTATTCGACAGGCTCAAACTTATTGAGGAAGAAAACTCCGATTTTCAATTCGTTTCGCTTAGATTGTAGTCATGATGTAATGGATTTTTTTTTTCAATTTATTGAACGATTAATAATAAAGTAAAAGTCCGTTAATTGGTTGTCAACCATGTTTCATTTCAATTCAAGAAAGAGTTTAGCTAATTAAAGATTCAAATATTAATAATTTTTTTTTTTTTTTGTTTGGTTTTCTCTTTATTATCATTATTTTCATTCATATTATTTCGTTTCGTTATTATTATTATTAATTATTTTAATGATAATCTCGATTGAAATTTAAATGAATGCATTTATTATTACATAACTACGTGTTGTTTTGCGATAATTATCGTTTGAAAAAAAAAAGAAAAACCCCGAGGAAGGAGAACATTACAAAATTAGAAAATTGAAAAATTAAAAAAAGAAGAACAAAAGAAAGCTCGCATAAATTTCATTTCTTTAAATTTACCAACAAACGAATTTTATTTATTGGAAAATAATATTGAATTTTTATTTATTTATTTAGTTTTTTTTTTTTTTTTGTCTCTATTTTATTTAATACATTTTTCAATTATGAAGCGGAAATTATAGTTAATCGTAATTTTTTTTTAAATAATAATAGATGTACACAATACAATTTCTTTTTTATATATAAATATATATATATATATATATTTATGTATATATGTAGATACGTAGATATATGTTTTCAATCTTTTGCTTAATATTTGTAAATATATATATATATATATAATATATATAAAATAATAGAAAAATGAAAGGAAGAAAATAAACAGAGAGGCAGGAGAGCAAAGAATTAAGAAAGAAAATATTTAAAAAGATAAAATTAGAAGAAGACCAAGAGATAAAAAAAAAAAACAGTTTTACATATATTTAGTGTAGTGATGATAATTACAATTATTAATATATTTCGTTATATAAGTGAAGTCCCAAAAAAGGAAAAATATAATAATAAAAAACGGAATTACATAAAATTTGTCATTGGGGTGTTTTTTTGGTTCAAGTTGGAACAAAGAATGAGACGCAAACGTCCTTCGGCTGGCGAAATGAAGATATTTAATATTTCATTTCATTATTGTTATTGTTATGTGATAAAGAAGCCTTTACAGTGAGTGTTCGTATAAATTGTTTTCTTTCCTTCTCCTTTTCATTTTTAAATACGAAAATCTTCACAATGTTTTTTAAACTTAAGCAAGTAAAGTTGAAATGATGGAACCTTTACATTTTTCGCCTTGGAAGGAAGAGTAGAAAGAAAAGAAGCGATGGAAAAACATACTACTGAAAGGAGTAGGAATTGAAAAGACAAAAGTGCTAAATAAATTTTAGCAAAAAATATTGAAAGTTTCTTCTTTGCACTATACCTCGGAATTAATTGCTTTAGACAAATTAAACTAAATTGTTTAGAAGGGAGGAAAAAAAAGTAATATTTTATTTACTTGGCTAAACATTTACATGTACACAGAATATCTCTACACGACGACCACTTTTGCTTTTCACGGGTTAAATTGTCGTAATTTGTTTATAAATATTGCAAATTATCTCTCATTATGCGTTTTTTTTTCTTGTTTTTAAATTATTGCTTAGACACAAAATATAAAAGAGAACTGCTGCTTGGAATTTATATGAAGAAGAATTTTATGGTTTTTTTCCTTTCTTTTATTTATTTATTTTTCTTTTGTTTTGTTTTTTTTTTTTTTTTTTTTGTTATTATATTCAGTGTTTGACTTTACTTTTTGTTTCTATGTGTGTGTATTTCATAATTTACTCATTTGTTTTATACTTTTAAAACATTTCGTTAACGTCATGAAATGTTTCGAGTTTTCTTCTTTTTGTTTCTGCTTTGTTTTTTTTTTTTCTTTTAGTTAGTGTTTGCCTTATGTATGTTTGTAATGTTGTCTTGAAGAACTTTCAAAATCTGTTTTTTTTTTCGTTTTTTAACGTTTATTTTTCTAAACCACATGCACATCCAATAATACACTATTTTTTTTTTTTTTTTACCATTCATCATCATCTTGGTAATTACGATAATTGTTCTTTTTAGTTATGTTTTAATTTAAATTTTTAAATATTTATTTTTTTTATTTATAATTATCAGTGTAATAAATTTTTCAAATCTCTCATTGAAAATTTTATTTTCTATAAGTGAAAAGAGTAACAAAGAAGAAAAGAATATATTAATTTAATTTGTTATTTTATTTACACATACAAGGACATACGAACCTACAAAAGGACATCACTTGCAGCAATTGTTCGTCTGTCGATTATTTTCATTTTCATTTAGCCTTCGTCCAGCTTGGGCCTGGTTATTGGCTCCATCATTTTTCGGTAATTTCTTAGCTGTAACAGGAAAGATTTGGAAGCGTTAACAAAAAGCAGGCTTTAAAATGAAAGTTAACTAACGACAAGCAATAATTTGCAGCAAGCATCAAAAACGCTTTTGTCAAACCAAAAGTCGATTCCACTTAACAATTCCCCAAACAACAATTGTGTTAACTTACCATAACTTCGGCTACCCTATATCCTAGCAGCTCAATTTTTTATTCACTTTTCTTCCTTCCGTCCCTCCGTTCAAGCTTAGAAAGTACAACTTGTCTAATAGAGCGGAGGAGTCAACATTTCGCAAGCAATATAATTTCGTAAGAGTAACAGAATCATTTTAACTATTTAATTTGTTACTACTGACTGTTTGATGTGAACTCACTAACGTTCGCAAAAAAAAAAAAAAATCACTTCTCTTTATGAATCAGAATTCGACACATTAGGCTTTCTTTTGGGCCAATAAAACAGCATTCTACTGATAACCTTTCAACTTAGCATTCGACTTTCCTTCTTATTATAGTCACCACCGAAAGCAGCTTCGTAGGCCCTATATAGTATTCAAAGTGAGCCAAATCGGTTGAAAAACACATCTGCAGTACTATGTAAGCTGAAGGACAAAATGCAAATTTGAATTTTCGTTCATTACCTTCAAACTATAGGCAGGTAAAACTATACAAATTTGCGCTTGTATTCTATGAGCTATCCCGCACGTAAATGGTACACACCTGTCCTATCTTATAGGTATCAAATTTTCGTTTTTTTTTTTTATCAAAATCTTTGTAGTACTCAAAACGCGAACCTTCAGCGATAGCGTAAAGTATATATAACCTTGACCACCTAAGCATGCCCATCTCTTTACCTGTCCACCTGCCAAAACATTGCAAATACATGCAGGCAGATTGGTATTGATAATGAGCCCAACCACCAACAGTGCAGCATTTTCTAAAAATAACTCTGCTTTTCGGAATTTTTCACCCATTAAATATAAACTGCAAAAGATAAACATATAAAAATTTCGACATTTACCCAAGGAAAATAGGGAAATCCAGTCAGATCCCATTATATTAAAAGAATATGGAAATATAGTTTTTGTCTTTCTGGGTTTTTTTTAGGAAAAAAAGGAGACTGCAGACGAATATAATTTTCTTAGTTATCTATTTTCTCTTTCTCAGTGTCTTTGACATTGCACTGCAAAGTTTAACCTTTCCATAACCCGTTCTTGCAACCTAACGGTACTCTCTGCCAACAGAAATTTTTATACTCCGCACTACTTGCGTTGCAAGGACATACTAACTTTTATTATACTGATATATTATGAAATTTGTTACGCTGGCACACGTGTAAACGCTATTGAAAATGTTTCGGATCGGAGCACTTTTTCTGTTTTTTGTTATGTTAACGAATTTCTACCTGATATAAAGAAAGTTTCAATGGCAGTTTACTTTGCACTAAGACTAGTGTGAGGAAAAAATATATACAATCCCGCTAAATTTGGAAAATTTGATAGGTTAGCTCTAAGACAGATTTCGATGTGTATTCCGAACGAGATTTATATCTGAATATAAAATTCCATTCGGGTTTGTGACCCCAAATTTCGACATTAAGATTATTGAAAAATATGCCGTTACGAACATCATAGAATTGATAAGGCAATTCTTTATGAAGAATTCCTAAGTTTGTAGGAAAGGAAAGAGTTTCCTAAAACGTTAATTAAGAAATAAAATATTTTTGCTTTACTAACCAATAGCTAAGAAAATATCGTTGACATTCATGCCGGTTTTTGCCGATGTTTCCATAAATAGCAATCCATTCTCCTCGGCATATTGTTTAGCTTCTTCATACTCTACGACCCGTATATTTGATAAATCCGCTTTGTTACCAGCCAATGCAATTACAATGTTAGGAGATGCCTGTTGTCGAACGAAAAGGCGTAAATAACAACAATTTGCAAAGAAAATGAAGAATCTTTGATTTAATTAATCACTCACTTGCTTATGAAGTTCTTTAACCCAAGTTGTTGCACGTTGAAAACTGTCTTGATTTTGTATATCGTAAACAACGATGGCCGCTTGCGCTCCTCTATAATACATAGGTGCCAAGCTGTGATATCTGTGTGTGATTACAAATGTAAAAAACGTTAGAGAGCCAAATCTTTGGGCATTATTTAGATGGACAATATGATTTTACCTTTCCTGGCCTGCAGTATCCCATATTTCGAATTTAACCACTGTGTCCTCTATGCAAATGGTTTGTGTTAGGAATGCAGCTCCTATCGTACTCTCTTGGTATTCGTGGAATTGGCCTTTCACGAAACGCAGCACTAAAGATGACTTGCCCACAGCCGATTCACCCAAAAGTACCAGCTTAAATTGGCAACTTTTATTCTGAGATGTGCCATTTGGCCGCTGAGCTGTACCTCCGCCAGAACCGGTGCTCGAACGTGGTGTCGTTGTGGTTGCCATTTTTCTTTTACTATGTGATGTTCACTTTATGTGTCGTTCTTGCTTAAGCAATTGTTATTTACTTGTTATTATTTTGCAAACAATTCAATTTGAAACTTTATTACTTGCTTTTTAAATACAGTGTCTAACTGTAACTGTATGTACGTCTAAATATGTTTACTTTATTGTATAGGAAAAAGTATATTGCGAATAGGGTTTGGTAGAATATCAACGAAACAAAAACAAATTTTAAAGGAGAAAAAAAGCAAATGAATGTTTCTTTACTTTCTCTTTTTTCTAAATACGACAATCTCTAGCTGTTTGGCCTATTTAAGGACGGTCTGCAGAAATTAGAAGATGAGATTATCTGCAAGAAAACAAAAAGAAAACAGAAAATAATATATTACATAATTATAAATAATCTCCATTTATGTTCCATTCAACAATATGCAGAGAGTATGCTACAACTTTTAGTCATTGCATCAAATCCTTGGGCTTAAAACTACAGTGACCTCCACCATAACTAGTTCTTAGTGATGCGCACACACTTTGCAGCAGAAGCAATTATCGTAAATACAAAAAAAAAAAAAAAAAAAAAAAAAAAATTGATTCTCTTCTAAGCTATGATCAGCCAATGGCTGGTATATTACGGCCGTGTCGAAGTTACAAAATTTGAAACAAGCTTGGAGTTTAATAGTAAACTGTACGCAATCCTTTTATTAATCAATGGAGACGACTAAAATCTAATACATCACTCAAGAAGTTCGTAGGAAGACATAGAAGAACAACCAATTCTTTTTTTGACCGATTTTGGAACAACACCTTTTAACATGATTTTGTTGTTGTAGCACAAAAATTTCAAAAGAAATTTCTTTTAAATTCTAAATTTGATATTGTTAATGACTTGATCTACAGCGATTTTTTTTTCACTGTTTTTCACAACGCATTTTGCATTAGAATGTTCAATTCGTAGAAAGCAATAAACGGTTTCGATAAACGTTGATGTTCATTTGTTGACGGTCCAGTCCGTCATAAACGTGCACGCTTGTTATCAAGTAGCCATGAATAGTTGCGGCATTGATTTTTGTTCCTAATCTTAAATTAATTTAAATTTTCAGCGCAAATTAATTTTAATTCTTTTTTTGGTATAAAAATGCTTTTGTTTTATAAATATGTTATATGAACTCTGTAACTTTTTTTACACGCTTTTTTGAGAATATATTTAGAATTTTTTTATCTTGCACAATGTCTCAAAGTTGTGGACCATATCCCCAAATTTACCACATTTCGCAACTATTTTTTCGTACAATTTTTTTTGCACGCTTTTTCTAGAGACGCATCGACCATACAAAACAAGACTTGGATGTATATGTCGCTAAATATTACAAACTCTCACAGATTGTTTGCAGTTGGTTTAGTGCCACGACGAAAAATTTAGGCTTGACATGTAGTCAGACACTAAAATAATCGTAACTTGTAAACTAATGGTTAGAATATCATGGGATTTCGCCGCATTCCGATTGAAGATTGATACTATTTGGAAATCTTATGGATTTGGCAATACACATACTTATACACGCTTATGATGTGTATTAAATGACACTACTGAAAAGTGTAGAAGTGTACTTTTTTCTTAAGTATTCTTCGTCTGTAGGAATCACTTTTGTGTACTTCAAATCTATCGATCCTTATTAAAAAACTTCGTGAACATCTCAAGTCACCGCATGCCCTTGAAGCTCTTTCAATATGAGAGCAAAAGTCGGAATCCAATCGATTTTATGTTTTTGAAAAGATACCCATTCGCAGCTTCACAACGAGGACTAATCGTTAAAATGACAAGCAAAAAATTGGGGTATACCGTATATTGATTAGCTGTGCGGGTCACAAAATCGAAAACAAATTCCTGAAATTGAATCTTTTTTTAAACAGACTACGCTTGAAGTAGACATATTCAGTCATTTATTTCTTAAAATACTAGTCCAGTCTTCTTATGTCCATACAGGACACCCCAGAGAAAACTTTCTTCCAAAACTTGTCTAATTTTGGCTATACAACTGTTGGCCTTCATCCCTTTGTTTACCGAAAAATTATTCGCATGTATAGTCGAATACGTAAGAACCGAGGGCAGCAACTCAGAAAGTGTGGTAGGGTTGAACTTTGGTCGTACCTATAGTGAATGCCTAGTCATGCCCAGCATCATCATTTACCTACTGAGCACACATCGACTACACTGCGACCACTTCTGCTAGCTATTTCCTTTTCTTCACTTTTCTCCGACCGTCACTGTTTTGCAAGTATAGAGGGCATCATCTCTGCAATGCACTTGCAATGTGTTCCAAATCAATGATTGATAAAGTGTTCTCTAATTCATCCGTTTTCGTCAGACTTCCATTTAATGTCATTCATATGGAACGTCTATACCAGGCGTACATCTCTTCGGCATGCTGGCCAAAGTGGTAATGTCAAGATAATAGACCTTACGACAGAAGAACCAAACATTAAGTTTTTTTCCTGTCTATCTTTCCTACCAATAAGTATAGTCGTATAAAAGTTCATTCGCGAGTTCATCTTGGCAGTTATACAATTAAAGACACTGGTGCGGCTTTCTTTACGGCAATATAAGATCACGTATTTGCATGAATTTTTATTATATTTAATTATTATTTATGTCTATATTACTAAGCCTGGCATATACATATTTGTATTTTTTTATTTAAATAAATGCGAGCAAATTTGGTGGTCAATGACTTGTGAAGATATGAGATTTGGAAATCGTAATACTTTATTATAAATACGTAGCAGAATTCTCAAAAAAAAAAAAGAAGCAAACAGCTTAATAAAATGTATGTCGTTACTGCTTATCTTTATAAATGAGCGAAGTACGCAAAAGCAAGATTAATAGAAAACACCCCTCATTATTTTGTGCTGCTACAATGCCGATTTAAGCTGTTAATGATAAAAGGCGATAAAATTTGAAACAAACGAAAAAACGATAACTCAAAGGAATAACAAAAATTTTTATATCACACACATATCACATATATATATTTTTATATATATACATATGCATACATATATATATATATATATATATATATATAAATATATGTATGCATATGTATATACATATAAATATATATATTTATTTATGCATGTATACAATCAAGGCTCGTATAACCCTACTTTTTATAATAAATAGCGAAGATGGGAACCGCTCTGGCATTATATATTCTGAATTTACTTTATTCTATGTTCCTCTCTGAACGTGGTTTACGCAGACGATAATTCCTGAGTTGAATTAATTCTGAGTTTCACAGAACACGATTTCCACATAACGCAGTAGAAATTAGTCGCGCTACAGGAGACTTTATTGTACATTAAAAAAGTTGTGCACGCGCATATATATTTCGCGTAAATTTTCAACGGCCGTGAGCAACCGATCCACTAAATATGACCGCATCGATCTGAATAAGCAGTCCTCAGTTCCTCAGTCTGAAAATTATTTCCTTGGTCCTATTAAATTTTTATATATATATTTTTTTTGAGAAAACCACTTATTATTCAAATCCTGTAAAAACTGGATCTTCGGATAATCTAAGCGACTCGTACAATACGCGCTTGCAAAAGATGGAAAGAATCTACCGCATTAGGGCGGATCTACCGTACTGATTGTCGCATGAAATATCTCCCATTATAAAATCTGCCATCAATGCCTGTGCACCGTTTAAGACGAAAGTCTGATAATGGTTTACTCGACGCGTGGCCATCAACTTTACATCAAAGTTCTTGTGACGTGTATTTTCCAGTAATTTAAAGGTTGTGATATATTAGATTCAGAATATTGCATTAATCTGGAATACATACACACTCCCACTCCTGAATCCTTGAGCACGTACCATACTGGCTTCCCGTAAATTTTAATAATTGACAACAAAAATTAAGACGAAGCGAAAATAACGTATTTCCGCAAAAGCATCGCAACTTTCTTTCTTCTCAAGTTTCTTTGCATGTTTACATTTATCACATTTTGCCATTTACGAATTAAATACGCACAAAGAAAACGTTTGCACTGCCTTTTGCAATTTCTTTTAAAATCCGCGATACTATACTTATCGTACGTATATACATTTTTAACGATTACCTGCGTCAGTTTAATGCAAGCGTTGCGTGATATTTGAAATGATATTTCAAAAATAAAAACACCCGTTACATTTCCTAATTATTACCTTCTGTTTGGAGCCATTTTCTTCAATTCTTTTTTAAATATGACCGATCAATTATGGGATGCCACCCATATGGGCAGAATGACGGAGTAAAACGGATTGAAAGTGATCGTAGCGTAGTGGGTAAGTGTTACGCCTTTACTTGCGCTAGATAAGAAGAATTTAGGACCGAAGATTCTTGAGCGAAATTTTTGTTTAACTTTTGTTAATCACTCCATATAGAAGGTAAGGTGAACGAGTTGTATATCGTATACAACGCAAACATCTTATGCATACTTCAGTACGTATTTTTAAAAATCTTAAGTATTGACAGCTAATCTATCAACATAGTTCTTCTAGTGCATATACAAAACAACAGTGAACCACGGCCCACCATCAAATATCCTACTCCACCCTACGTGATATGAGAAGTGATCGAAAATATGGTTTGATCCGAACCATTTCCACAAAAGTTCGTCGGTGGGCCAAAACACGCCTGTGATCAAAATATCTCGAAAATTTCGACTTCCATTTGAACGTAAGGAAAAGGGCGGACGGACACACCTAAACCGATTCAGAAAAGTAATTCCAACCCATCGGTATAATAAAAGGTGGGTCTACCTAAACTTCTTCTGGTTGGTGCCTACAACCGCACATAATATATCCTTATAAATAAAATCCACAAAAAATTGTGTACGAGTTCTCTATGTCGCTCGACTTTTATCACGAAGAAATCCTAAGAAAAGATAATATTGAACTTTTGAATTTTCATATTACTGGGAGGGAGTGGCCAACATTTTTTTTTATTTGTTAACGTCCTGTGAGGAATTTTCTTTCTTTATTGTACCTTATAAGTAACGAGTTTTCCCGTCTTTTTTTTCATTCAGGGGATGTTGCCTATTCGCGTACCACAGCGAAGATCAGAAGGGAGTGAAGAAGATAAAAGAAATAGAAGCGGATGACCGCAGCTTACTGGGTTTGTGCTGAGTCGGTAAAGGTTATGCTTCTAGCGACGGAGCATTTACTATAGTTGGGACCAAAGTAAACGCCACCGCACTGAGATTTGAACCCGCCAACAAGGACTTGGTCATCGGATCAGCCTTTACGTTTTAATGATCTCTTCATCCTACACGCCAACACGTCCTGTATATTTGTCAAATTTGAA